AATCTCTGTCGATGTCGGGCAGAGGTGGGGGTACGGAGGGGGAGGCAGAGGGTGGAACATTAAGAAAATTTGAAAACACTTTGAGTTATCTTCCTAAAAACAAAGCTGTTAGTAAAAAGAACTGCATGTTAGCTAAGAGTTTGGCTAAGTTTGCTAAGCACATCTCAAGACACTAAGAAAGGCACACAAATATGAAAGTCAATACAGGTACAGCTAAACGATAAATAAAGATAAATAAAATGTTAGCCATAAAAATATAGCCACATAACTAAAGGGTAGAGCCATGATAATAAGTAGAACTTATGTCAAACTAAGAGTTAGCAATGAAATAGGAAAAAATATTAGAATGGATTAAAAGTTTACAGAGAAACTGCAGATAAATATGGTTAAAAAAGTAAAAAATAAAAACAACTAATTTGTCTAAAAACTCTGAACAACAGAATGGAACGTGGTAGCCGTTCAACCTGCTGTTATTGTTTACTGTAGATAAGATGGTAATGACTTTATGAAACACATGCACAGATCTGCTGCTGCTGAGGAATGAAGCAGAGCCAGATTCTACAGCGCTGCAACATCACGTAGACTCAGACCTCAGGTTGTACCGATTCAACCATCAACGATCTGCACTTACAACTATCAGAACCACATCCTTAACTCATTATTAAAATGATTAAAAAGGGGCAGAACAAACCCGAGCTGAGTAGACGCCTGGGTCAAAATGTTGAAACCATGAAATAGAAGGCGGTTGATTTAACCTGAACATGGACAAAGGTTTTTAGCATCAGAGTTCCTGTAACTCCTACTTTTTGAATGCCTTTTTTAAAAGTCGTATTAATGTAAAAATAAAACTTCTAATATTTGAACATCAAAACCTGAGAGCGGAATGTCCACCAAATCTCCCGTAACTGACAGAACCACTGTCTATTTGTAGGACAAGTGATTTCATCATTGTTTGTGTGCGACCTGTCAGACATTGACAACGCTGATGGAGACTTATAGATTAGGATTTTGGATCCGATAACTGTGACCTAAACTAGGCAAAAAATGCACAGTGTGACAGTGAGTATCGATAGCTAAGATATTAGAAGTATAAGGTAAATGTAGCCTAAAGGTAGAAACAACTCACTCAGTTGGTGTACTTTCACAAAAAATGTATGGAAGTTAGCTAGAACTAGCTAACTAGCTTCATAATTAGCCTATCATTCAAATAAAAAAAGTGAAGAGCAGACCAAGAACAGAGAAAAATGTTAGCGTAGTAAAAGGTAAAGGTCATCCTGAATGACAAACATATACTTAAACTTAAACTTAAACTTAAACTTAAACTTAAACTTAAACTTATCTTTATTTGTCATTGTGACACAGCACAGCACAGCACACCATGCACAATGAAATTTAACCTCTGCATTTAACCCATCACCAAGTGAACAGTGGGCAGCCATGGTCGGCGCCCGGGGAGCAGTGCTTGAGGACGATGCCATGCTCAGTGCATCTCAGTATGTTCATTAGTCTAATGCATAAAGCTTAAACCTAGCTAATGATTGTCACATGATAAATTCAGTCACATTAAAACATTAATAGATATATACGCAGTAGGACATGCTAATGCTAATGTCACCTAGGACTAGATATCAGATCAGAATCAGAATCTCCTTATTGTCATATGCACCAGGGAAGGTGATACGAAATTTAGTTTCGTACGACCCGTTCCAAGAAAAAACATGAATAGACAATAAAAACAATACAAATAATTGACAAGGCGGGACAGGAACAGGAAGGCCAGGACGCAGCCCGTGGGCAGCGCGCCCTTATATTAGATGAAAAACAACTGAAAAACGATAGGGAAGGAGGAGGAGGGAAAAAAAGACAACTCCAAACTAGGCCCCGTGGGGAGGGGGGGCACAGTGTGGGATTTAAAAAAAAAAACCTCTCAGCACAAAGCACAATCAAAGACATTATAACAGCACGAGAACATCTGCACATGGGGGAGTGGGCGGGGGGTTACAGCACGATCGAGTCTGGGCGGGCTGCTGCAGGACCTGCGCTGCTCTCGACCTTCACCGACCGCGTCGCAACAGGGGAGGGAGGGAGGCTGTAAGGGGCCAAAGAAGGGGTTGAATCCGGGGTAAGGGCGAGTGTCCCAGAGAGGGGGGGGGGGGTAGGTCGGAGCGTCTTGTCTGCAGAAACATCCAGGAGAGTAGAGAGAGAAGGCCTTGAGAAGGCCGGTTATGTGTGCGAGCCAATGAAGATAGTAGATTGTTTTGGGACAGGGCGACGCTGGAATCTTCTGTCTGCCCTTGAGTGTCTCTTGAATGTCTCTGAGTCTCCCGGTGGCTTGCTTCAATATAAAGGAATAATAACAGGAAATAAAACAGCTAAACCTGAGCACAAAAAATGGTTAACTATGGTGAAATGTTAGCTTTGGTTGAGGAAGTATATCTAAAAGTTTGCTTAGGTTTTGGCAGTTTCAAAGTTAAAAATTTAAACTACACTTGGTCTGATTTTGTTTTTTTGTTTTTTTTTTGGTTTATTCTCTCCACTGTCGTTGAAGTATTTCTGATTCTGATTTTAGTACAGCACTAGCTGTAAGTTAGCTAGTGGTAAGGTGTCATTGAGTAGATGGTGACAAATCAGCATAAAGTTTGCAAATCGTAAATGGACCATCCCTCGATAAATATAGGGGAAGATAGCTAAAAGTTAGCTGAAAGAGTAGATAATGGTAACCAAACTGAGACATGTGTTAATGACGAGTGTATTAAAGGTCGGTGTATGTTTTTCTGACTTGGATGCAGTCATGTGAAGAGGAGAATCAGACAGAAATAATGACCGAGAGAGTAATCCTTGACCGGCGGTGTCTTTATTGGACAGACTGGACATTGTCCACACTGTCCATCTGGACTAGATCAGTTTGTCACAGAGCTGATGTTAAACAGACAGGAAGATGTCTGTTTAACAGAATGTACAGAATGTTCACAGTAAAGCAGGTGTGAACACAGTCGGATTATTTTTTTGTAAAGCAAATGTTGAATTGAAAAAAAACAAAAGTAAATACCTGAGAGAGGAGATGAAGAAGTACTGGTTCAACAAAGTCTGCAGTTCTTCACTGATCCACTCTGTCCACCCATGTGTACGTGCAATATAAAGGTGTGTGTGTGTGTGTCTCAGTCACACCTACTTTTTCCTGGCTGTTTGTCAGGTCAGTGCAGCACGACTGGTTAAAGCAGTGGAAACACCACACATTTACTCTCAACTTTACTCCAACAAGCGCAAAACTGTCATGTGACTTTTCTGTGTTTGATGTCAAACAGAGATTATCAGGAGAATCATAGAGGAAATACTGTGTTTACAGTAGGACTCGGAACGATAGAGAGTATAAACAGCTGCATTTGATTTGTTATGAAGTAGGTGAGGTTAAATATGTGTCATTTCTTTATAAACATATTTAATATATACTGTTATCTACTGCGAATGACAACCTTAATTATCATTATTACTATTCTTATTATTTTCAAGATTTAAATTGAACAAGTATTGTTCACAGCGCCAGTGTGATAACATTAGTGACCCCTAGTGGTGGGACTACAGACCTGAGGACTCCTCTGCTCGTCCCTCCTTTTCCCTAGGTAAGAAACACAAAAACAGTCTGACTCTGATAAACACGACTGTCTTATCTGCTGTTAGCGTTGTTAGCATTGTTACCGTGTTTCTTCCACTTATCTTTAGATCACAGGTGAATGTTGTGCAGCTGTGGAAGATTCCAGAAACACAACAACACGATATGGCTGCAGCTGATGGGAAACTCAGTCAAAGGTAGTACTGTATGGTTTGAGTATTTCAACATTTTGTAATTATAGAAAGCAAATCAGGGTTGCAGCTAGGATTACTTTAAGCAAATGTCTACGGGTCACATGACACGTGTGTTGAGTCATTCAGGTGGAGCAGGCAGGATTATTGACAGTACTGACCAACAATTTCACAATAGTAAAAACATCTTCTTTGTTCCCAACCTTTCAACCATCTGTAGCAAAACAATGATGGTCACCATAGGTGGATACAACTGCACTGAGTGCTACAAGTATTTTGACATATTTTAGTTATTTTTTCAATGTGTGAGGCCAATGTCTTTCTGAGATTGAGTGTCTGTGAAATGTATTTTTAGCTAACTGCTCATACATATTTCTATATTTCTAATATTCTAACTTATTTCATTGAGAAATTGTATACACACATATATGTGCATATACAGTATATATACATACATATATACTGTATAAATGTATATATAACGTTTTATTGGCAAAAGTGGTGCTTTTTAACAGAATAGAACAATAATATATAAAACATATAGTATGTATATATGTTTATATTTATACATATATATATATACATATATATATAGTAGTATATATAGTATATATAGTGTATATATATATACATACATACATACATATACACACATAAAGGGCCCTTTGTCCCAGAGGCCATGTCTCTGTCATTGGTGTAGAACCCCAGGGTTCACCTCCTGGGTGAGTTAGAATCCCAGTTAGGGCGGTTGGTACCTTCCAGTGGACTGACCACCTGCAGGAAGGTTCAGGGGGGTTGGTACGGTGCAGTGGGATTTGGGTGGTGGTCATGGAGACTGAGGCCCCCGTGACCCGGTGACGGGGAAGCAGAAATGGATGGATGGATGGATGGAATACATAAAAACAAAGTACTGTACCATCAAAGTTAATGTGTGTACTGCACTGAGGTGTATACAGGGGCTATATACTGGTGTGTAGTACACATTTGATATGACCTTGCGGGCCAAATATAATTACACTGTGGGCCAGATTTGGCCCCTGGGCCTGAGTTTGACACGTTTGGTGTAGATGTTTAGTAAAGTTCTCACAGTGTACAGAGGAAACGGTACAGTTGGTCCATCACACACACTCAGATATGTTAGCTAAGTGTTACCATTAGCATCATTGCTGTTAGCCTGTTAACATGTGAGTCCAGAATTTTCTGACAGCCCGTGATGGATGCTCCTTTCACACACACTCTCTGTAGAAAAATGTTTTTAATGTACATTTTCAGATGTGAAAGAGCTGAATAAAGGTATTTATTTAACGTTATTAAACGTGCGCTGGAAACGCTCTGTCTCTGTTGGACGTCTTTGTGGACAAACATCTCTGTCCTTCAGTTGTTGCTGCAATTGTTTTTAATAGATGGCAGCGTTGGTGTTGTTGATGTTGAGGCTGCTGACTCGTTTCATCTGATAAACCACCAGAGCAGCTTCATCAGAAAGTGTCTGCAGAGGAACAACACTCGGTTAGTTGAGGAAAGACTGGAACACTGGCTAAAAACACACACAAAATAGCTAACAGCTAGCCTAACTGTAGCTTGGTGGTGGTAGCTGTTCTCTGTTGTTTGTTCTCAGATTTCTCTCTCTGTGTGTTGTCTGTTCTCTCTTCCCTCTGAGTCCTGACTGAGTGTAAACAGAACACCTGAACTGTGAACATGAACCTGTGAGTCGGAGCTGATGTGGTCACATATGGTGGTCATGGTGTCAATACAGTTCCCATAGGTGTTCTCCTCCTGGTGATCTTCATAATGATGATGATGCTGAAGATGATGCAAACCGGGTTTGAGCCGACTGTAGGACCCAGGAAGAGACAATGACAGGAGGTCAGTTCAGATATCTAGCCCTGGGCTTCCTACACTTTTGAAGCTGATGTTCAGTGACGAGTCACTCTTTCATCTCACGCTCACTGATACCTGATGAGGGACAGCAGCTGCTGCTGAGCTCTGAGCTGACTCTGAGCCTCCTGGACTCGTCCTTCCATGGTCAGACGTGCACAGAGCTGAGCACAGTGCACGGCCAGCACTGAGCAGTTGAAGCTGCTCTGCCACAGACAGCTGAGGAGGAAGAGGAAGAAGTCTATTATTATATTCTTATAGTCTATTATTGACTATCCAGTTTCTTTAGACCAAATGTGCTGAAGTTTCACCTGCTGTCAGTGACTGGTCTGAGCTCAGTGATGACCCGAGTCACACTCTGCTGTTCTCTGGTCGTAAAGCTCAGCTGGAGCTGGAACTGGACTCTGCTCTTCTGGAGGAAAACTGACACCAAAACATTTCCATTAACCGTTTAGTTAAAGATAAAAACAATATCCTGGCCAGCAGAGGGCGTTGGTGAAGTTATGGTTTACTCACTCTCCATATACGCTGCTCTGACAGCAAACTGAGCGGTGATCTCCACGCCCCTGGTCACGTTCCCAATCTGCTTCACCAGTTTGTGATTGTTTTCATCCTCAAATGGAAAATACCTGTAGACCCGAACATCGCCTCCAGGAAGTCAGTGGTAGTAAAAATGTTTAGTAGTAGTAGGACCATTGTTGAGTCCCCCTGAGACCCTCTAGTCAACACACTCAGCTATGGTTTCAAATGTCAACTGAACTTCATTCTAATCTCTGTAATTTCTACAAAAAAAAAAAGAATTCCTTATTTGAATGAAAAAAACCACAGACATCACGCAATTTATGCTACTGAGGGACAAATAACCAAAATACTGAAATTTAAATTAATTTGATCTTAAAACATTACTGAAAACATTCAGTGTTACAATCGTAGAATCATTTACTGCTAAATTAGCAACTGGGAAACAAGTAGTGCAACTGTAGCTAGCTATTAGCTCAGATTTGTTTCCCTTCTTCTTCTTGCCTTATTCTTACACACCAAAAACTCACATTCCCTCTGGAGCTATGAGCGTTGCTTTGACTCCCATCGCCAACACGTTGTCAGTTGAAGCTAATTGTATCTCTGTGGCAATGGTGCCGATGTTAACGATGATCACCTGCGTAGGAAAGGGTAGTTTAGAAAACTAACAAGGTTTTCTTTATAATTAAGTATGCCTTATACAATAAAATGTTTACATTTTCAGCTGGAAATGGTCAGTGCTAATGTAAAAACCTTTACTAAAGCTGATGTAAAACTCCAAATTTGAGCATTTATTCCATATCACATCACTCAGACTGAGATGATTGCATCATCTCACACTGTTACACTAAATGTGCAACAGTAATGCTCACTCTTCCTCCCGTAACGTCCGCGAGTCGTCCGATGTGGGCAAGACAGCAGTCTGTTCCTTCAAACGTCATCACTGAGACGATGACACTGTCGGTAAAAAGAAAAGAACATTTCTGTAATCTTTAATTAGCTCAGATTAAAGGATAAACTGTCGAGCGCATCATGTTAGTATTAGCCAAGTCATAGAAATAGTTTAGAAACATTTGATTAATATCTTGCTCTGAGTGCCAGAGTTGAAATTTAGACTAAACTCAAAGTTTCAAAGAGTTAATTTGTCATTCAACATAGAAAATAAAATAAGTATAAGAACACAGTGAAATATAAATATAGAATGAAATGTAATGACAACAAAATAATAATGGAATAGAATTAATTATTATGATTATCTTTCTGGTTCAAATTTAATGATTTAAGCTTACTTCTAATCTTTTTACATCTGGACAGTCTGAGCTATAATTTTGACAGGAATTCAATCATTTCTTCAGTCATTTTTGTCATTTTTGGAAAATATTTTTGCTGTACCTTTAAACGTTAATTAAGGTTCATTAAATTCTCTGTCTTCACTAAACCAAAATACCTGTAGGCAGTTCCCATCTGACATTTTGCTAACAACATTTATTGTCTGTATTACTGTCTAGCAGTAATGGTTTCTCAGGTGCAGCATTAAGTTTTACTGAGTTCAATCAATTTGTTCGATCATTCTGATCTGTTGAAGGTTCTCACCCTCTGTCAACAGCCTGTGCAGACAGCTGTCTGTAAAAGTTTGTCTCGTGAGGAGACAGCAGAGAGTTGGACTGGAGCTGTTCCACCTGCCCCAGACCAATGTTAGCTCGGCCGTCGGTGCACAGAATCACCTGCACAAAAAAGACAGCGTCATCATTGCCATCATCATTGCCATCGTCAACCTCCAAATATAGCTCATGTCTCCGTGTTGGGTTGATACAGGAGGTCAGTGACATCACCCTCATCTGTGTTTCTGTTGTGCATTTAAACAAATTAGCCTCTATTTATAATCCTGACATGAGCTCTTTATTTTCTCCTAAACAACCCATATTCACACACATTATGTGGATCATTACCAACACTACGTTTGTTTGTCTTGTGTTTGAAACTGTATTACTCTGAAAAGTTGTTTTACGTTAAAAAAACAAACTTGAACCACAAACTCACTCACCTTTGACCCTAGGTATCTTGACGCCATGGCGACTGATGCTACTGCTGCAGCGCCGAGACATGTAGCTCCATGTTCCTTAAGGCTGAATTACACATATATATATTGCAGTGATATGCAGAATATTTAGCTTGCGTCTCTCTGTGAGCCAAAATCACTGATTTTCACCATGGACTTTGGTGTAGTGGAGTAAGCGACTAACAAAATGTCACTCACTTTTTTACTCTTTGGATCAGCTGGTCATATGTCTCTGCGATACAGTGTGGAACATTGTAAGCCACGCCCTGTGCCCATATATGGTCATAGTCGATGAGAGCCCAGTCATTGAGAGTGACAGGACTTCCTCTTCCATCTCCATAAATTACGACCTGTTCACAAAATCACACCAAACTGTTGACCGGTTCATTAGCTGAGGTCTTGTCTTCTCTTCTGTTTTTACTGTGTTTTTAATCATGTTCCAGTTTGTCTTGACTACTGAAGGAAAACTCTACTTACTAACCAAGGATGATTATTTTGGAGAGCATTTAGTTGCTTTGGAAAAGCACTTCTGGCCAACCTTGACTTAGGTTGTTGCATGACTAGCTGTTTATCGGTAGTTTACACATTATTTAGATAGAAAATAGTCAATACTGTAAAGACTTTTGATATCAAGACCATGTTCTTTGATAACATCCTCTGACCTCATCACTGAAGGTGACCAGAGCCACCCTCCTGTGTGGTGACTGCTGCAGGACAGACAACAGCGCCCTCTGCAGGGCCTCCTGGATACCCTGTTCAAATAAACAAGTTAATCAACACCTCCTCAGGACAGTCATGTGATCCTGAGTGAAAAGCCAATCAAATCCCAGAGTCCTGACCTCCAGTCTGGACACATGCTGTGGCCCACTGCTGCTGGAGACCTGAGAGGAAATAGAAACAGAAATCTGAGACTGCTGCTCTGAGCCCTGAGTGGACAAGTGGACTGATGATGATTGTTGATTGGTTTTTTATTGATTATTGTTCAATTCTGGTGAAGAGTTATTGGTGAGTAATTATTGTTAAGTGATAGTGGGTTATTGATTGATTATTAATGGTTAATTATTGTTTTTTGTGATTGATTATTGATGATTAATTACTTGATTGGCTTTGGTGAAAACTAGTTGGTGATTGATTGTTGGTAATTAATTTTTGGTGAGTGATTATTGTAACTCAGTTCAGGTTATGAGTTTTATTACTCATCAATACATATTGATGATGCGTTGTTATTGTTCATATAGTTATTCAATAGATACATTTATGTATTGGTCATTTGTGATTAATAATTGATTATTGGTGATCATGGTGGACTTTAGTGAATATTAGATGATTGATTATTGACAAATGAAAATTGGTGAATAATGGATAATTGAAAGTAATTAATTAATGATTAAATGATTAAATTCTAATGACTGAGGAGTGGTCATTATCATTGGTTGTATTTGAAGCTCCACTCGCAGACCTAGGTTTACTGGCATTCTCTAAAACACTGACCCAGACTGGCGGGGCGGGGGGGGCGGGGGG